CTGGGGAGGCCCAAATCCCAGAGCCCGCTCCAGACCCACACACCTACCCCTACAAAGAAGGACCTTCATCCCGACATCCACCCTTCCACCCTGAACCCTAGATCTCAAGCACCCCTAAACCCTAAACCCTAAACCCTAAACCCTAAACCCTAAACCCTAAACCCTAACCCCCAAACCCTTAATCACCCCTAAGCCTCAACCCTTCGAAACCACTCGTGTGTCCTCGCCTCCGTCGTCTCGCTCCCATCAAACCACTCCTGGATGCAACGCTTCGGAGCTTGCGGGGCTTTAGAGGGTTCTGAGGGTTTCGGGGGGTGGATTTTAGGGTTTAGGGTTTAGGGTTTAGGGTTTAGGGTTTAGGGTTTAGGGTTTAGGGTTTAGGGTTTAGGGTTTAGGGTTTCGGGTTTAGGGTTTAGGGTTTTCTTAATTTAGAGGGTTTAGGCGATTCTGAGCAGGTCCACCTCTCGGAGATGGGTTCCCTGGTAAGAGCCGCCTTGCGCTTGGCCCAACAGGGCGACCCCTGCACTGGCAAACTCGGAACCTTTCACAGCTTGAACCCGAAACCCGAAACCCTAAACCCTTAAACCCTTAAACCCTTAAACCCTAAACCCTAAACCCTAAACCCATAAACCCTCAACCCTCAACCCTAAACCCTAAACCCTAAACCCTAAACCCTTAACCCTTAAACCCTGAACCCTGTACCCTTCGGACCCCCGAACCCGCGACCACAAGGTCTCAGAGCCCCTACAGGCACTGCAAGGATGGTGGTGGGAGGGTTTAGGGTTTAGGGTTTAGGGTCTAGGGTTTAGGGTTTAGGGTTTAGGGTTTAGGGTTTAGGGTTTAGGGTTTAGGGTTTGGGGTTGAGGTCTGAGGTTTGAGGCTTGAGGTTTGAGGCTTGAGGCTTGAGGTTTGGGATGTAGGACTTGGGGTTGGGGCTTGGCGCCTCGCAGCCGACGCCATAGTTCTGGCTGCCTGCACATCGCTCGGAGGCTGCCAAGCTGTTGAGAGAGGGGACAAGTAGGCTAAACAGACGAGTTGGATGCGCTGCACACGACGCCCTTTTCAGGTTTGTGGATTGAGGCTTCAGAGTATGTGTACAAAAGCAAAAAAATATATGTAACAAGAGAGAAAAATGCTTTGCAAGTCGATTAGTTGTGAAACGCAATGTATTTGAGTGAGTTTATGCCTTTATTATCTTCAGGTGCATACCTGACTTCAATGACTTCCCAGCTACGAAAATCAAGAAAGTCATGATCAAAATGGAAGGCAATCCAGAGGACGATAATTATAATGATCAATTGACATGTGAAATATATTCCTGGATCTTGCATTCAAAAAAAAAAGCGAACAAGAGCCCGAAACTTAATGTCATTCGTTGGACTTTCTCATTGATTTGGGAAATTAATGGGTTTTTTTCACGCGCTTCAATGATTGAAAAATTTCGTGCCCCTCAGATAACACTGAATACATACGGCATTTTGGGGCCCCTAAACCTCAACCCTTTTGAGGATTGGGGCTGCGGGTTTTGTTTTTTTTTGGGGGGGGGGGGGGGGGGGGCGAGGTTGTGCCAAGGTGCCTCCATCCCATGCCAGCTTGCTTGGCATCCAGAAATCCCTGGGCAGCATCCCCAAATCTATCAGCCCACGTGTGAGTAAGGTTGAAACGCACCCCAAGGCTCAAAACGCCTTCAAGATAGCTCCCTTTATGCTAGGAAGGACGACATACGTACATATGAACATATGAACACATACAGACACACACACACACACACACACACTCCTATATATATATATATGTATATATATATATATGTATGTATTTATTTTTCTACATGCATATACACTACGATATGCAGATATACATACACATTTACGAAGCCGCTGCACGATTTTGGGGGGGGGGGAGGGAAGTTAAAGGTCGAGAGTTCAGGGTTCAGGGTTAGTAAGCCTGAATATGGAACTGAGACGGTGCGCTCCCAAAAACACAACCCCCAAGCCCCCGAACCCCGAAACCCCTAAGAAAACATTTGGGCTCAGTGCCTCGCGTTGTGGAATGTGACTTCAAACTTGCAGGGCTTTTGCCCCAAGCAACTTTGCCCCAAGCAACTTTGCAACAGCCGCCTTTCTTGTCCCTCTTAGCCAAACTACAATACGGCCGTTGCACTCGACAAGCGGGCAGCACAGTGCCCAGAGGACCTAAAAGTAGCAATGAGTCGTCATGCTGGCAGCAGTGCTGCAAGAAGTAGTAGCAGTAGTAGTAGCAGCAGTAGTGGAAGTAGTAGTAGTAGTAGTAGTAGTAGTAGTAGTAGTAGGAGGAATTTATTCTTAGGAGTAGTTCTAACAAGAACAAAATAATAGCCACAATCACAGTACTGAGAAGACAGGGCCCCAGCTGACCGGCAACGCCCGCCTGGGTGCAAGCAAGGATGGACGCGTGCAGCTTTCTGGGCTTGGGCGTTCAGGGTATAGGGGTTTGGGGGTCTAGGGTGTAGGGTTCTGGGGTTTAGGGTTTAGGGTTTCGGGTTTGGGGTTTAGGGTTTGGGGTTTAGGGTTTAGGGTTCTAGGTTTAGGGTTTAGGATTCAGTTTCAGGCTGTGGGTTGGGCTGGGGTTCTGAGGCCTAGCATTCAGGATGCCACGGCCTGAACCGCAGACCCCACGCGATCCCTCACTGCAACGGCTCAAGAATCCTCGAACTCAGCAGTGATGTTGTTGCACTTGATATACATTGTACACTACACCCTCAACCCTAAACCCTAAATCCTAAACCCTAAACCCTAAACCCTAAACCCTAAACCCTAAACCCCCAGTTGTGCTACTCAAAGTGCAGCCTGCCACATGGCCGAGGTCATCCTGGCTGTCCTTGGTCTGGGGGCTGTAGGATCTTGGCCTAAACCCTCATCCCTAAACCCTAAATCCTAAACCCTAAACCCTAAACCCTAAACCCTCAACCCTAAACCTCAATCCTAAACCCTAAACCCGAGTCCCGATTGGGATTTAGCAATTTTGAGGGGTCTTGGCTCCCTAGGGTAGAGGTTTGGGGCTGCATCGGCAAGGAACCTCACTTCCTGCACATATCTGGAGATGAACCTCCTGAACCGTTTAGCACTTGGGTCTAGGGTTTTGGCCCCAAACAAACCGCTTGAGTCTCCTTACACAGCGTTCAGAGAGTTTAGGGCTTTTGGGGCTTCGCAGCCCCTAAGATCCGAAACTCTAAGCCGCCCTGACGAGTGAGTCTGTGCTTCCGAGGCTCCTGGTTGACAAACCCAGCTCTCGGAATTGAAATCCCTACGTGTGGGATGCAAAGGAACACGAAGAAGTTCCCGGCGAACGTACCCGTGTAAGTGTGCCCAATGGAGGAGTGGACTACAGCGATTGCCGACATGAGGTTCTTGCTTTGGCATCGAGCCGAAGGCGGCGGCGTGCAAACTGAGGCTTTAGGGTCCAGGGTTTAGGGTTTAGGGTTTAGGGTTTAGGGTTTAGGGTTTAGGGTTTGGGGCTTCTCCTTGGCGTTTCGGCTTTGCGGTTGGGGATGCACTGCAGGGTTCGACGTTTAGGGCCAGCAGGGTTTAGGGTTCAGGGTTTAGGGTTTAGGGTTTAGGGTTTAGGGTTTAGGGTTTTGGGGGTTCACGTCCTTCAACCGCCAACCCGCGTCCATTTTGTGCCCCACCCTGTTGCAGCCAACATGTGTGGGAAGGGGTTGTTCCAAACTGAGCCCAAGAACCACCATCCAGAGGTCCTTGATCCCTAAACCCTCAATCCGGGAGCTGAGCCCTGAACCTTAAGAACCTCTAGGAGCACAACCCTACTTGCAAAACCTCTAGGAGCACAAGCCCTTCTCCTGGAACAACCTCTGCCGCTCTCTTCTCTGCTTGGACCTCTCTTCGAGAGCGTCGCAACTTTTTTGGGGTGCTAAAGGAGACTGCGGGATCCGCAGGGCCGCCCGACGCTGAAAGCAGAACGGTTCAGGGTTCAATAAACATGGGGGGTCGACGAAAATACGGGGACCCCTCAATCTAGCCCTTAAGTAGTGGGGGGTTCCCTTATAACAAGGACCCCAACAAGGTACCCCTAATTTCGGGAGCCCCCAAGTAGGAATGGTCATCGTTGTAGTAAAAATGGTAAGAGTCACAAAGGTTCATCATGAAGCATGAAGAATCATGATGACGGATCATGATGACGACTGTGATAGCGATCGTGACGATGATGGTAGTGGGCATGTGATGATGGTGACCATGTGATGATGGTGATGATGGTACTGGCACGGTACTCGTGACCATGCTGACAATGATGACAATGACAACATGCTGCTGATGAAATTCGGTTGCGCGCTTCGATCGAAGCACATGGTGACTACCTTTCGTTGCTATGCTTGGTCCTATCCGTTGTTGTTACTGTCGCTGCTGCACTAGCTCCGTATGCCCTTCCTTCCTTACTGTTTCCGTGTGTTCTTTCCTTCCCTCCTTCCCTCCTTCCCTCCTTCCCTCCTTAATCTCCTTCCCTCCTTCCCTCCTTCCCTCCTTCCCTCCTTCCCTCCTTCCCTCCTTAATCTCCTTCCCTCCTTCCCTCCTTCCCTCCTTCCCTCCTTCCCTCCTTCCCTCCTTAATCTCCTTCCCTCCTTGCTTCGTCTCATCCCTCCGTACTCATTGCCTATGAACAAGCTGCTTGATGCCTTAGCTACGACAAGGAGGCTCGCGAAGCTGAAGCCTCAGAAGCCAAGCGCGCAGAACCCCCAAAAACCCTCTCAGGCTCCAAGCTGGGTCAGCCCTCGGGTCCTACAGGCTGCGCGCCTCATGAGCGAGGCACCGCCATCTTCTTTGAACAAGCTGCCAGTCTTTGGCGGCAATATTTGTGACGGCTGCTGGGGCTCAGCTCTGGGAATTCTGGGAATTTTCACAGGGCGCTGCATAGAGGGCTGCTTAGGCTGGAGGGCTTCCGGGTGCCCCTTGCATGGCTCCATCCTGGGGCTCAGGGGCTGGGAGCGGATCGGCTGCGGCGCCGCCTCACGCGGGGGCATTGGAGCGACCTGCGGGAGGAGTTCGAGGCTTCGTTTCGGCGAAATTTCGAAACTTCGGGTCTAGGGGCGCCAACCAAAAAAAGGCGATGTCAAGGCCCCCAAGAAGCAAGCGTTCAGAACTTGGGGCACTTGGGGCCCAACACCCGAACCAAAGCCTCTGGAGTTGAAAAGAGGGGGGTGCATTTTCATTTAGGAGAAGAGAAGGGTCCTCAACCTTGAGGGCTTAGGTGTAAGTTTTGGGGTTTGGGGCTTAGGGCTTAGGGTACGCAGCTTGCGGATAAGGATGGTCCTCAGCCCGTTAGGGTTTAGGGCTTGTGGGTTTCATCCTTGCCCAAGACTCACAACCGAGCTTCCGACCTTCCTTGATTGCCGGGAGGCTGCTCACCGCCTCGTTGCAGGAGGTTTGTGGGTTTTGGGGACAAGGGTTTAGGGTTTTAGGGTTTTAGGGTTTAGGGTTCAGGGTTCAGGGTTCGGGGTTTTGGGTTTAAGGTTTAGGGTTTGGGGTTTGGGGTTTGGGGTTTGGGGTTTGGGGTTTGGGGCTGGGGGCTTGGGGTTTGGGATTTCCCTGACATGTGCTTCAGCTTCAATCTTAGGGTGGTTTCATGGTCCCTTCATACGGGGAATCTAGTTGGGGAAGCCCTTGTCTGTCTCTATAAACAAACCCAAGGGCCCACACACTTCAGAACCCTCTTCAGCAAAGTAAGGGACCAAATGTCAGGGACTTCTTGGCGACCCTCAGCAGAGAACCTACAGGCTGAGACCCCAATACCCTCAAGCCCAAAAAAGGGGTTTGGGGTGTAGGGTTTAGGGCTTAGGGCTTAGGGTTTAAGGGTTTAGGGTTCAGGGTTTGGGGTGTAGGCTGCTTCCTGCGACTCAGATCAGGCCCGACCGGACCCCCCTAAACGCCTTCAAAAGCCGCAAAAAAACCCATGAAGCCTGAAACCCTAAAACCTTAAAGCCCTAGAACCCTGAAACCTTGAACCCCAAACCCCAAACCCTAAACCCTAAACCCTAAACCCCAAACCCCAAACCCCAAACCCTGCAGAAAACTGCAGGGAGCTACGACCTGCTCGATCAAGGAGAGGTCGACTTTGGGGCGGTCAGAAAGAGCCTGGCTCCTGCGGAGGTCGTGGAGGTTTGGGTTAAGGAATTTTAAAGTTCAGGGGGTTTTGGGTTTAGGGTGTAGGGGGCTTAGGGGGTTTTGGGGGTGTGGATGAAAGATTTTTAATCTTGAGGTGGTTTAGGGGGGTTTAGGGTTTAGGGGGTTCGGGGTTTAGTGTGTAAGGGGTTTCGGGGGCTTAGGGGTTTAGGAGTTCTTGTCAAGTAGACGCGGGTAGATCATGGGTAGGGTGTTGAGGCCTTTTGCAGTCTTGAGGCTTGAGGGCTCAGGGCGGGAATTCACAGCGTGTAGGCGTTGTGAGGGCTGTGTTCGGCAAGGGCTTGTAGAGTCTGGGCTGAAGAGTTTAGAGCGTAAGGCGCGCAACTGGAAAGTTGCTAGCAGCATACACGTGGTCATCACCCACCTTTGAGCACCATTGAGCCTTACAAGGATGTGAAGGCCCGGAGGGTTGGTTTGGAGCCCCTGAACCCTAAGCCCTGAACCCTGAACCCTCAACCCGCAGCAGCAAGAGGTCCGGTTCGGCTCGTAGGGGCCCTTTGCCACGGCATGCAGAGGCTTGAGGGGCTCTTCACTTCAAGCTAATGAGCCCTGGTGGTGACTTGTGAAGCTGTTGGTGATGTTAGGGCTGCAACGCAGAAGGCGAGGGCTCTGCATACCTAGACCACCCAAGAAGGGAGAAGGGAACCTTTTTTTGGCCGATAGGTTCATGGATAGACATAAGAAGGGTTTTAAGTGTCGGAAAATGCTGCAACTACAGTTACCATAAATACAGTTTCCAGACTTTCAACCCTGCTTCTAGCTACCGATGCACCTCCAAGTAAGGCATCTTAAAGGGCGGGGGGGGGGGGAAGGGGGGAAGGGGCCCGGACTTGAGGATTGATGTTAGTGTCCATGAGTGTAGGCTTCATGGTCTAGGTGCCGAGGGTCTAGGGTCTGGGGCTTATGGTGTGGGGTTTAGGGGTAGTAAGGCAGCTGCACTTCTCAAAGGTATGTAACATACATCCACACTGAATACCATGTGACGGGAACAGCTTTTGACCCCAAACCCATCAACCCGAAGGCCCCAGATCCATCAACCCGAGGTCCCAGCGCGGGCAGAGTGGGAGCTGCCTGCCCTGGGCGATGCGCCGTCCTGGCAGGGTGCTGAAAGAAGCTGACGTGAACCACCTACATGAACCACCTTAAACCCCTCGCCTTCGTTTGGGGTTTAGGGTTCAGGAGTTCAAGGGTTAGGGTTGGGACGTTCCCCCATCCTTAATAGGGATTATAGCACCCACCGCTAGTATATGGGGGAACATTCCCGAAATCCCCGTACCCTCGTGTTTCAAGAGTCATACTGAACCCTGTCAAGAAGTTGCTTGAACAAGTACTTCCTGATACCCTAAACCTCTAAACCTCTAAACCCCTAAACCCCTTAAGCCCTTAACCCCTTAACCCCTGAGCCCCTGAGCCCCTTAACCCCTTAACCCCTGAACCCCTTTACCCCTTAACCCCTTAACCCCTTAACCCTAAACCCTACCGAAATCCTTGATTGAATTTTGTGGCGAAACCAGCCTTGCGACGCGGCGTTTCGTGCGTCTCTAAGACGGAGGATCCGAGCGACAGCAGCACCTCAGCTGGTTCAGGGTTGAGGGTTGAGGGTTGAGGGTTGAGGGTTGAGGGTTGAGGGTTGAGGGTTGAGGGCTGAGGGTTGGGGAGCTTTGGGGTCGAGGGTTTGAATTGAAGGATTGAAGGTGGGACTTTGTTTAGACTTTGGGATGTGGTCTTTGTGTTCCTAAACCCTAAACCCGACATCCAAGCTGAGACCTCCACACTGGAGCCAGCGGTGCTCATCCGGAAGGCAGAGCCCTGACCCCGGCAGCAAGCCACAAGAGGCTCGGGGGGCTGAGGGCTTAGGATGGTTTAGGGGCCCCCCCCCCCCCCCCCGCCAAGTCTCTGGATTCTTATGGGCCGCCTTGGGCACCGCCGTTTTTGCACATAGAACTCTGGCTTTGGAATGCTTTGAAATGAGTCTCAATTTGGCGCAGTCCTGATGGGAAACAAAAATTGGCGGCCTCTTGCCTGCGGCATCATCCCCCTTCCTTATCTGGACCATCCAGAAGCCTCCAAGGTGACTGAGCCCCAAGACCTCAACTTTGCAGAGAACAGCCCGGAACACCCAAAGAGGAGAGCCCAGAAATTTTCCCCCAGCCCGAAACCCATCTCCGAAACCCACATTCACCCTACAAAATAGGGTTTAGGGCTTAGGGTTTACGGATTGCGGGTTGAGGGTTGGGGGTTTCGGCGTGGGCCTGTGACCTAGGATGGACTGTGTAGTAGGCATCCGTCGGTCGCATCTTCACCCACCTGGGAGAAGGCGGATTTTTCTGGGGCGGGGCTTTAGGGGCGTTGGGGGCTTTGGGGGCTTTGGGGGCTTTGGGATTCAGGGGTTTCGGGTCTTGGGGTTTTAAGGGCTTTGGGGTTCAGGGTCTGAGTTTTAGAGCTTTAGGGTTTCAAGGGTTTTAAGGGTTTAGGGTTCGGGTTTTAGGGTTTACGGTTTAGGCTTTGTGGAAGGGGGGGGCCGGGGGGGGGGGAGGTAGGGGGTTGGAGGCCAGACCTTCCTGAACTCCACACAGGGCCTGGGTCTTTAAACCCCCTAACCCTAAACCCTGAACCCTCATCCCTGAATCCTAAGCCCTAAACCCTGAAACCCTAAACACTAGACCCTAAACCCTAAACCCTAAACCCTAAACCCTAAACCCTGAACCCCCCCTGCACCCTCTGTGAGGCTGTGAGTCTCCAGCTCTTGTTTAGGTTTAGTAAAGGGGTTTCGGGCTTCGGGTTTATGGATTTAGGGTTTAGGGATTTGGGGTTTAGGGTTTAGGGTTTAGGGTTTCGGGTTTAGGGTTTAGGGTTCAGGGATTTTGGGTTTAAGGTTTGGGGCGTTTTGCTGGGAGGCTTTGGGGCGCTTCAGGGCTTTTGGGCTTTTGGGGGGCTTTTTTGGGTGTTTAGGGTTTTGGGGGCATGTTTGGGGCCTTGGGCTTGGGGCTTAGGGCTTAGGGCTTAGGGCTTGGGTTTAGGGTTTAGGGTTTGGGGTTTAGAGTTTAGGGTCCAGGGTTTAGGGCTTTGGGCTTAGGGAGGTTCAACCCAGGCACTTGGGCGCCAGGAGGAAAAACATCCAGGTGTGCTCGCCGGCCTCGGCCTCAGCAGTGGGGGCTCTGGAGGCCCTCAACCCTACTAAACCCTACTAAACCCTACTAAACCCTACTGAACCCTACTAAACCCTACTAAACCCTACTAAACCCTACTAAACCCTACTAAACCCTAAACCCCAGGAGGTTTGGGGTTTAGGGAGACAGCCTTGGACCTGTTGAAGCCCTTGGAAGCAGGGAACTCAGGGTTTGTCGGTTTAGGGTTTGAGGTTTAGGGTTCCGGGGTTCTACTATGTGGGAGCCGGGCAAGCCCGAAGGGCCCCAGAATGCCCGAGAAGTGAGGGGACACCCCTACTGTACAAACCGGCGCGGAACTGTCTCAGGCTGCATGCCCGGAGCATTCCCGCAGATGCACCATGCTTGAAACTGCACAAACGGGAATAGGGTAGTCAGATCCAAGAGCGGGACGGGCAGCTCGTCACTGAAATCCCGCTGCATGCCCCAAAGCTGGCTAACCTGGCGGGCGCTTTGGCAGCTTCATTCTTAGACTTCTACAAAACCGTCACCACAAGAGCACTCCCCTTCATACAACCATTGCTTTACGGGGCGTCCGAACTTACGCCTTAAGTTAAGCCTGGAGGCCTTTGGATCCAATTTTGTTGGGGTTTCGGGCTTCGGGCAGCACATGCTATGACTCCACCAAACGTAAGCCACAGCAACAAAACCCTCAAGGCCCCCCTTAGGCCCAGGGGGGAACTTCGGCCCGCGGCCAGTGAGCGGTGTTTAGGATTTCGGGTTTAGGGTGTTTGAGGTTCAAATGGTCGGGTGCCGCCTTGCGGAGGCCCAACGTGCCCAGAAGGTCGATGTCCTTGGACAGGACACCCATGTACCTGGAACTGGTGGTTGGCTGGGCTTTGGGGTATAAGGCTTTGGGGCTTTATGCTTTGAGGGTGGGTTTTGTTGGGGCGACTGGCTGACTGGCTTCGCCATCGCAACGGTGGCAGGAACCAGTTGCAGGGCTGAGGGTTCTGGAGCATGCCGGACGTAGAGAGGTGTCAAAAAGAGGCTCCCAACCCCCATATGAAATAACTCCCATCGTCTTAACAATGAAGCATGGCAGTTGTCAGGGCTCATAAACCCTTCACCCTAAGCCCTAGGGGGGAAGCAAAAGGCACGCGACGACGCCGCGCTCAGAGTCCACGGTGTGCATATGGAAGGCCACTTGGATCAGGTCCTCTTCATGGACTTTAAGGGCTTTGCAATCAGCGTAGGGTTGACAGGTTCAGGGTGTAAGGTTTAGAGTTCCCTTCTTCTTTACCCGGGACAGCCATCCCCGAACTGTCTGCGATCTGAGAGTAAGCACCCACTTCAGGGGCTTGCCTGGTCTGTGGCGCTCACCACCACGGTGGATCCCTCCCAATCTTGGTCCACCTTCCTCTGAAGTCGCTGGACCTCGGCGTTTGTGCTATGCGAGGATGGAGGAAGGGGGGGCGCGGGGGTGCTCGAATTTGGCACATCCTCTTACATCATTGCTGACATCCATTGACAAGGAGAGTTGAAGGATGCATCTAAGAAGAAACACTGAAGGTCCGAGGCTTGGGCCATGATTGGCAGCGTCATGCGGCTACTCCGAGCATTGTCGTTCAATCCCTTGCCTCCCCGGAATTGGCTCCAGTGAAGATCGCGGTTTGGGGAGATCTGGTAGACCCTGACGATTAGGGTTTAGGGTCTAGGGTCTGGGGTTTAGGGTTTAGGGTTTTGGGTTTAGGGTTTAGGGTTTAGGGTTTACGGTAAAAGGGTTTAGGGTTTAGGGTTTAGGGTACCAAGCGATGTTCAACACGAACACCACACACAAAAAGAAATGCCTGGTTCATTGAAGCTGGCCGGAGACATGCCTCGGCCAGCAAGGAAGGAGCTCTCCGAGGTCATCTGGGCCTTATCCTGCACGCAGGCGGCTTAGACTTGCGGGTTTAGGGCCACAAGCTTGGGGTTTAGGGTTTCGGGTTTCGGGTTTAGGGTTTGGGGTTTAGGGTTTAGGGTTCAGGGTTTTGGGGTTCACTGTAGGCTAGGGCTTGAAGGCAAACTGGGCGCATTGGCGCTTGTGGCATCCCCAGGGCCAGTGCGAAGACACAAAAAGCCCTAAACCCCAGCCCCGATGGGGTTTGGGGTTTAGGGATTTGAGTTTAGGGTTTGGGCTTCGGGTTGAGGGACTTGGGGGTTTAAGCAACACAACTCAGCACCCATCTCCTGCATCCAGGCGGACTGCTGCGACTTGAGAAACTTCTCCTGCGACCTCCCGGCGTCTCTCAGCACTTCAGACATGTTTGGGGCCCAGGGGCCCACATCTGTCCGCAAGCCCAATGGGCCCTGTACCCTGTACCCCAAACCCTAAACCCTAAACCCTCGACCCTCAACCCTAAACCCTAAACCCTAAACCCAGAACCCGAAACCTTCAGTGGGCGCCCTGCACGCTCTCAGGGATCCCGGCTTGTTCAGGGAAGTCTTAGCACCGACCGCCACGGAGCGCAGGAAGAGCTTGGTTGCCTTCAGGGCATTGGGGCAGATGGTGGGGTTTCGGGTTTGGGCTGGCTTGAGGGCAGCTTGTTGGCTTTAAAGTTTAGGGGTTTGGGTTTAGGGTTTAGGGGTTTAGGGTTTAGGGTTTAGGGTTTCGGGTTTCGGGTTTCGGGTTTCGGGTTTAGGGTTTAGGGTTTGGGGTTTAGGGTTTAGGGTTTAGGGTTTAGGGTTTAGGGTTTAGGGTTTAGGGTTTATGACTTGTTCTGAGGGTTTACGACTTGTTCTGAGGGTAAGCTGGAAGCTGTTTCGGGCAGCAACATGCCTCCAGCTCGGCATCCTTATCGCCGCCCAAATAGGGGTACTGCCTGGCTGAGGATGCTAAGTTGGGGAGGGCCGACACCCCAAACCCTAAACCCTAAACCCCAAACCCTAAACCCTAAACCCTACATGGGTTCAGCATGTTCAAAGAGTTTTGGGGGCCGTCGGAGTTCTCAAGGTCCCTGGGCCACAAGAAGTCCTCTGGCAGAAACTTGCCGATGGCTTTTCTAGGTTGGGCAGGATGAACTCTTGCACTGCGGAGAGGAGGCAGTACTCTCGGCAGCAGTTAGGAAACCATCCGAATCCTTGGATTGCCTGGAAGTTGTGTGGGGGGGGGAGGGACCGGGGAGGGAGGAGTCCGCGAGGCCAGAGCTGCTTTCTGAAAACATGGCAGCCTGACTCCTTGTCGGCACTCAGGTTGTTAAGCATGGGCTCGTGCTTCAGCCGCCTCTCCTAGGGATGTTTTAGGGCCTGGGTTCCCCACACACACCAGGTCCCTACGAGAGTGTCTACTCCATGTGCGAAGCTGTTTGGGCATGTGCTCTTGGCGTTGAGGCCTTTGCGTGCAGCTTGCTGAAGCCCTGGAGCCCACAAAATTAGGCTTAAGGCTTAGAGCTTAGAGTGTAGGGCTTAGCGGCTTAGGGCACGCACCTGAGAACTATACCGCCAGTCGTGGTTGGCGATCTTGGATCGCTTGTCTGGATCTGCCTGCCTGGGCGCGAAGCGAGGCACCCTCAACCCTGCTCCCACCAAACCCTGAAGCCGAAACCCCGAAGCCGAAACCCTGAACTCCAACCGCCCCTGACGTTGTCCAAGCAACCTTTAGTGTGCATCTCAAGACAGTGCCCGCTATCTAGGTCTTCAAGGCGAAACGCAAAACTCGACGTCAGCTGTTGCACCCCCCCCCTTCCCCCGGCACTGACACGTAACGCACCCGATATCGGTCTGGGGGGGATGTTGGGTTTCTGGGAGGCGGAGGTAGAGCTTTGCACCGACCAGTGCGGGGAAGCGGTTTAGGGTTGAGGGTGTTTAAGAGTGGGGGCTGGAGTTGACGACTTGGGGACCTAAGGCCACGCATGTTCGCGGTTGGCTGGTGGGTTTGGCGGAAACCGAGTCCTCGGACCCCAAACCCCAAGTCCTGAGATCCGTGCTCAAAAAGCTTGGGGGTTTCGTCTCTAGTGGTCAGTTCAGTCTTCCCTGGATTCCGGGTGAGTAACCCACGTCAGCCCCCCCACCTTCGTTCCCTAAATCTTGCATCCTAAAACCGACCCGTGAGCCCTGAGCCCCTCCTCAAGCTGAGCAAGGCCTTCATTCCCAAACCCCGCTCGGCCTTGGAATCAAGCCCTTCTTGTCCTCGAAAGGAAGAGGGGGAGGGGGGAGGGGGGGGAGGGGGGGAGGGGCCGGTTGGGGTTTGGGGGTTGGGGGGTTCAGGTCTGGGGTCCAGGGTTGCAGCTAGGGAAGACATGCGAAAATCTGCGAGACAAGGGATTGGTTCAGGGTCAAGGGCGGGGTTTAGAGTTTAGGGTTTAGAGTACAACAAGCGTGCAGGGTCCTTGTATTCCTCGGGCATGTACTCAAACTCCTGCTGCAGGAAAGGATGCAAGCACACATAAACCAAGAACGACACACTCCATTCTGCAGTAACTGCAAGGTGGAGCGGCCTGGTAGTAACCTCCTCCCCAGAGCTGCGTCATCTTGGACCTACAGATCCCGAACACCAGGAACTTTTTGGGGTTCAGGGCCTGGCCTCAACCCTACACCCCTTCAAGACAGGTGGTTCAGGGCCTTGAAGCTTGTTTGGAGCTGAGTGTCTTCTGGGCAGCTATCAGTCGACGAGCCTCTTGGAGTAGTTAAGTGGTTCCTGAATATGGTGCTTAATTGGGGGGACCCTTGTAGACGCCTTACAAATACACGATACACAAGGGCCCATACCTCAGAACCCATGCTTTTGCAGGGGTCTTGGTTGAAGGTTCAAGGCTGAGGCTCCCTGAACAGAGGGGATGCAGCCAAAAGCAACAACCCCCTCCAAAATAACACCCCCCACAAACCCCCCCCCCCCCCCAAACTCCTCAATGAACACCCCTAAACTCCCCTAAGCCCCCACTAAACCTCCCTCAACTCGAAACCCTTGAAACCCTCTAAGCGCTAAAACCCCAAGCTGTTGGGCTCCCGGGCCATGTCTGCGGCACAGGCTCGGCCAAACGGTTCCGCTCCATGCGCTGGCGACGGAGGAGGTGGATGGCATCGGGCCTCACGCGCTTGGGGATGAGAGGGTTTGGGGTTTAGAGTTGAGGATTGAGGGTTGAGGGTTGAGGGTTGAGGTTGAGGGTTGAGAGCTGAGGGTTGAGGGGTTGAGGGTTGAGGGGTTGAGGGTTGAGGGTTGAGGGTTGAGGGTTGAGGGTTGAGGGTTGAGGGTTGAGGGTTGAGGGTTGAGGGTTGAGGGTTGAGGGTTGAGGGTTGAGGGTTGAGGGTTGAGGGTGAGGGTTGAGGGTTGAGGGTTGAGGGTTTTGAGGTTGAGGGTTGAGGGTGAGGGTGAGGGTTGTTGAGGGTTGAGGGTTGAGGGTTGAGGGTTGAGGGGTGAGGGTTGAGGGTTGAGGGTTGAGGGTTGAGGGTTGAGGGTTGAGGGTTGAGGGTTGAGGGTTGAGGGTTGAGGGTTGAGGGTTGAGGGTTGAGGGTTGAGGGTTGAGGGTTGAGGGTTGAGGGTTGAGGGTTGAGGGTGTTTTGCTTCAAGGATCAGAATTCAGCGTTAGAGGGTTTTGCATGGGGGCAACTCGCTCCGGGGCACTTGGAGGTTAATGGATCGTAGAACTTGATTATAGCTAAAGTTACCATACTTGTAGCCAACCCACCTGATAAGTAGGGTTTAGGGTTTGTGGCTCCGAGTGGACCTGAGGATTTGGAGCGTCATCATGAACGAGCAGACGTCTGATCGTCTGGCTTCAAAGGTTCAGGATTCATGTCTGTACCAGGAAGTATGCCGTTTCGTATGCTGCCTTTTGGCTGCTTATGTGCATCACGCACGGAATGCCGATCACGCATGCGTTGCAGGTGGCGCTGGTGGTGGCGCTGGTGGTGGTGCTGGTGGTGGTGCGTGGTGCTGGTGGTGGTGCTGAGGGTGGTTGGGTGGATGGTATCATACACCTAAATGGGCAAGGTGTCGTCTAACTGAAAAGACAGTCAAAAACCCCTAAAACCTCTGAAAACCCGCTTATAAACCCCTAAACCCCTACACCCTGAATCCTAAACCCCCTAAACCCTAAACCCTCAACCCTCAAACCTAAACCCTTGCAACCACTTAGGAAGCCCCTCAGGGAGACCGGACCCAAGCTCCACCGGCAAGGACTCCTTCATCCACGTGTAGTTCCCTGTGCCTTCCGTTGACTCTTCAGGGGGTTTAGGGTCTAGGGTTTAGGGTTTAGGGCTTAGGGTTTAGGGTTTAGGGTTTAGGGTTTAGGGTTTAGGGTTTAGGGTTTAGGGTTTAGGGTTCAGGGTTCAGGGTTCAAAGGAGCCTCATATGTGTTGGGGAGCGGTCACGGAGGTTTGGTACCCCCCTCTGCCTTTTAGAAGACCCAAAAGTCATGCTTATTCCCGATGACGAACTAGTAAGCTTATGGAGGGTTTAGGGTTTAGGGTTTAGGGTTTAGGGCTTAGGGTTTAGGGTTTAGGGTTTCGGGTTTAGGGTTTCGGGTTTCGGGTTTACCCTGAGGCGCAGAGAGAGTCCTTGCAGACGTATGGGTGCGGATCGAAGTTGCGAGCCCGGTTTTAGTGCCTCCAGTTTTGTCCCTCTTTCCACTGGGTCCTAGGTGCAAATAAGGATCCGACATCAGATCAACCACCAAATTTCGACTCTCTTCCTCGTTTTTCCTCTAACACAAAGCCTGCAGTCCGACTCCCGACACCCCGCCCTTGCTCTTCTCTGGGTCCCCATGCTGAAGGACTGTCTGATGACATCCTGCTCGTGGTTCGAAAACTCATTGGCCTGGGAAGCCATACAGACATGTCAAAAGCTGGATCTTCAAAACGTGCAAAACTTAAACCCTCGAGATTCATGCTCGATTGAATGAGCTTCGATGTGCTTGTAGGCCCGGGAGAGTTGCAAGGCAGCTGCGGCAAGGACCCTTTCGCAACGTCTGGCAAGTCCAAGAACCCAAACACGTGACATCAAACCTCAATACAACAACTCCTGCTGCAATCTCCGCTACGCGCAATGATGCAGCGAGGCGTCTCCATGCGCTTGAGTTGTCTGGGCGTAATGCGGCTGCCGCCTCCGCATATCACAGCGCGAAGCAGGGGTTCAAGGTTCACAGCGAATCTGATGCAGAGGCACGGGCGAGAACTGGGAGCTGCCCCCCTGAAAACAGAAAAGCCACAACCTTCAAACCTCCGGCAGCCTCGGCCTTTCCGATTCGCCGCCGAACATCCTGTGGTTCATCCCGCTTGTGGTGCAGACTTATCACAATCTGTTGCATGTTGAAGCTTCGGTGAGATGCGCGTTGCAAAATGCAGTAGGCAAACGAAGTGGTTCATGCTTCGTACGTCAGTGTAACACTGTTTATGCACCGTTGAAGGCCCGTGGCTTCAAGTTCCGCAACAGTTGGCTGTGCTCACGAATGCATGCATCCGACTTCAATTTCCACTCCTTAGAGAAAGGGTTCAGGGTTCAGGGCCGACATGTGGGCAAAACATGAGGTGTTGTTCTTGCCCCGGGCATTCTCCCGGCAAGAACATCAAACCACAGTAACATGTTAAATGAGCGAGAAACAAATGTTGCAATCCTTGGTTGTACGCTGACTTGCTGTCGAAATTCGGCATGCTTTCCCCGGGTGGATCAAGCGCTTCAAACAAAGACATGCAGACCTGCCTGGGGTCCGGATGACTTCGACATATGTTTGGCTCTATTTCGGTGGACTTGAGCCACAAGGCACAAAGGCAAAGTCACCCTAAATTGTATGCAGGCGATGCTTAATTGAAACCGTCAATGAACTCTCAACAAACTCCGTATTTGATTCCAATCGCTTGTTCACATCTACACATGTAGCTGGCAACAAGAAACACTTTCTCACCTCCAAACCTTACGCGACATCCCCTCTTTTGTGTCTGCACAAAAGATTCCAATGCGACGTTAGCTGTGCAATTTTTAGAACGAATCACGGGAAATCGCACTTCACTCATATTCTTTGTCGACATGCGCCGAAAGCTCGCGCACATAATGTTTCTCTTGTCGCTGAATCCTGCCTACGGGATTGCAGACGAAAAATCGTTGCACTGAACAAAAAGTGATGGCCTTTGTGGATGGTGAAACCACAGTGTGAAGGCGAGAAGGTCCTTCTCAGGGGGAGATGCACTGCACAGGCAGTTTCCGATCAACCCACTTGGATGCAATCCAGAAAATTCTTTGCGATCACAGTTACTGATGCCCCAGAATCAATAAGCCACCACAAAGCTCTTTCACGTGCTTCACGGTGGAGTGGAGATTTTAGAGGTCGAACCGTTGGACTGCTGGCTGCGAGGAACACTGCTACTGTGACTAGAACTACTTTCCACAATTACTGCTACGGTTGCACTACAACCACTCCGACACCACTACCACTTTGGCAGATGACCACTCCTTGCTGCTTTGACTTTAGTGACGACCTGCAACACCACTCCAAAACATCTACGACAACAATAAGAACAACAGCAACCACAAACAACCACAACGACAACCACAACAGCAACCGCAACAACAACATCCAACGGCAACCTCACTATCAGGGGCGCACCCAAGAACATGAGAAGAGCGCCGCCGTCGATTGTTTTTTTGATTTCAAGTTTCAGACTCAACGTCATTGCCAACGTATCTCTCTGTTTTGTGAGCAAAAACCCAGCTTGATCGGACAAGCAACTCTGCAAAAAACAAACCCACACAGCGGTCTTCCTTTTTTTGCAGACGGACTTTGGTTCCATGGGTTTCTGATCGTCATGCAAAAACAACTCACTCTGCACCAGCAGCTTCTCGCTCCACTTGCCGCGTTTTCACCAAAAATGAGCAAAATGTCGTGTTCGAAACAAACGGACCTGCCGATGCATTGCTCGAAGGGAATTTTCCCCGTGTTGTTGAACGGTTTTTTGCCAACACAGCGACCCTGCAAAAAGCTGTCGAGCTTCCGTGCGCCGCCGCTCCAGCAGCAGTTTTTTTTTTTGAACCGACGCCTCTTTACTCATCAGCAGCGCAGAAGGCCGTTCTTGTGGGTCTCAACACTAGAGGTGAAACAGAGCAGGTGCAAAAACCAAAGCAAACACACACACCGAAACCACCACAAACCCAGCCACCAAAACCCGCAACAACCCGCCAAAACCAAAGCACCCAACGTCAAAGTATCCCCCGCGCTAAGTACTCGAGGTCGTCGCAGAAGTCCAGGTGTAATCGAGCAGCGCAGAGCATGCGGGAGGGTCGCAAAATGCGATGGTTTGCCAGATCATCAAAATCACCATCATGAAGCCACTGGCGCAACGACGGTCGGCAAGGAAAGCTGCAAAACGAGTAAGCGAGTTCGGGCTCAGGCTTAAACGTTCCGCATGCCACAGCGCAGGAGTTCGGGCGTCCTCTTCTTGGCTGGGCATCGGCGACAGGTAGAGTGGCTAGAAGTCCAGTCAGCAACTGCGGAGTCCATTCCTTGGCATAGACTTTGTCCTCCACTAGCCAGCTTGCAAGGAGGCCACTTAGAGGATCGTCATAACCGGGCCCTCAGGGTGAGAAGCCTTGCTAATTTGAACACTATGCCTTCCCCTGAGGACTTGACAGACTACAGGGTGTATGAGATGGGTCCACGAGTCATGCCAATGCCCTTGGACAACCAATCCAGTGAGCAGAACAAGCACAAGATCAATGAGAAAATTCGGCAGCCAGTACGGCTGGCGAATCGCTTCCAATGGGGAATCCGCCAGCGGTACCAAGAGCGACATGCTGTCGCTCCTTGGGCATGTGTAGCAGTGCATCTCAGAGCGGGGTGGAAGCTCCGCCAGGGAGAACCTCAAGCTGGCTGACCCTGGGCGGGGTGTGTTGGTTCACCAGGTGGTTGTGCTGCTCATCGGACAGCAGCAGGGCGATTGTGAGGTTTACGGGCTGCATTGCTTTGGTCTCGCCCGCGTTGGTACGAAGCTTCTTAGGGGCGGTGAGCTCAATGAACACACCAGGGTAGGTCGTGTTACGGTTGCCTTCGCTCAGAGTGACCGG